TTTGAGGCCAGCCTAGGGCACAGAGCAAGGACCTCTCTCAAAAATTCAAAAATAAAATAAAGGAATAAATGAATGGAGTTTCCAGATCCTTGTAATAGTGAATTTTCCTGTGTTCAGTATCTGGCCCAAGCACAGAACGGAGCCAGCGGCTCACGGACCTGGTTCTCCTGCAAATACCTTCTCCTCTAGGTGACTGCTGGCTGCACTGTCTCAGCTTAGTTCCTCTGTTCTGCCATTTGGGGACTTTATTACTATATTATTTTTGGTTTTGGACTTTATCCCCGTGGGAACTGCTGTGAGATTCCTGTCTGTGGCATCACCATGATGCTGCGCTGAGTACTAAACGTTGAGTGAGGCACATTTTCTCCCTTGCGTGGCTGATGCACATTTGGGGTTCTTTCCATATTTTGGCTCTCTAAAAGTGCCTGCTTAGGCAGGCAGAGGGAACAGGGGTTCGATCCCCAGGCTGCTGGGGCACGCTGAGATGGAGAAGGAGACTGGGCGCGGTGATGTGTGCCTGTAATCCCAGTGCTTGGGAGGCTGAAAAACAGAAGGATCACTAGGCGTCTGATCAGTGTAGTGAGACTCTGTAGATTCAGTACTAAATACATAAAACTAAAATAACCTCCATTTGGGTTTCCAAAGCAATCTTGCCAGGTAGCGTGAGCTATCAGGCTGTGGGAAATTTCTGTCTCTGTCTTTTTTTTTTTTTCAGTACCAGGGACTGAACTCAGGACCCTGTGCTTCCTAGGCAAGCACTTATTCTACTGAGCTATCTCCTCTCTCTCTCTCTCTCCTCTCTCTCTCTCTCTCTCCCTCTCTCTCCCCCTCTCTCTCTGGGGCGGGGCTGGCCCGCCATGTGGTGCCGGGGATAGAACCCTGGTCCCTGTGCTTGTCCAAGCAGGCGCCTAGACCGCTGAGCTATCTCGCTGGCCCCTGTGGGAAGTGTCAATGTTGTAGTCTGCACGGCCCGTGCTGCCTCTCGTATCTGTCGTTTGGTCAACTCCTCCTCAGCTCTGGGGAGGAAAGTAGGGCCTCCAGCATCCAGCAGGCCGGCAAGAGCTCTGTCCAGAGCCGCCCGGCAGCCCTTATTAGCCGGGTCTCTGCTTACTGTCATCTTCAGCGCGTCTCCAGATGTCACGCGGTGGCAAACAGGCCGCAGGGCCTTGGTCCACACTGCCGCGGCCACTGGGGACACGTGGGGATGGGGGCTGTCCGGATGCCCACGCCACTCAGGAGCGAGCCACGGCAGACACACAGGCTGGAGGGGGTGTTATTTTTGACTTTTGGAGAGAAGCCAAAGCCCAGATTTAGAAATGCTGGCAGCTATTCACGTTTCTGGAAAACACTCTTGTGGCCACCTCGCCGAGCAAGATCTGTGTTGCGCAGCCACACTGTTCAAGCTTCGGTGATTTTCAGACTTCCAACGGGCAGAACCCGTACACGTGGGTCTCAGGGCGATCTGGCGGTGCTCTGGCGGGGATGGAACTGAGCCGGCGGCCCTCGGGTCTACCGGAGTTTGGGGCCACGAGGCCCGCGGGCCGACTACCGCTCACGCGAGCCCCGCCCCTCCCGCCCCGC